TCTTTTTAAAACATTGTGTGAAATGATGTGCACTTTTGTAATACACTTTTACGTCTAGATTAAATAATTAACATTTTTTCATATTAATGCAGATATTCTACTTGGTTGGATTTTCTTTTTTTTTAAAACATTTCTAAATTTGTCGGTGATTCAGGTGAGTGAAGCAACTTTCTTCCTTTTCTCTTTAGCATATGAGATATAGTGTACCAAATTTCTCAAAAAAAAAAAAACCTTAAATACTATTGAACATCATATAAATACTTATTCTCTCAAATTATATTCACTGCTATAGTTATGTTAAATAAAATCAATGAATTAACGCATTAAATTTTCTTTTCCTTGTAGAAATTTACATTCTACTTATTGGATTGCATAATCACTGTGCATTTGCATAAGAGTATCTTCTTCCAAATGACTTCAAACCAAGGTTTGAATTCAACAAAAATATATATTATTATTGCTTTATGTGTATTTATGTTTATTAATAGTGTATTTCAATATTTTTAACAGAAGAACAAATTCTAATACATGAGAGTAGAAACACCAAATATAATCAGTTGAATGTTGATCAGAAGACAACTTACATTCAGAAGGTCATTGATAATAGTAGAAAGAGGAAAAGGAATGATATTGCTGGCAGTAGTACTAATAGCAAGGGAAAACGTAAGATTGATTTGTTTTGTGGAGCGCAATAGCGAGAATATGACCATGGAGGTTTGCATAGATTAATTCGTACTTTTTCTTGATGAATGATGTCTCAGGAATTTGTTTTCAGGGCTATTTGGCATCCGGCAAGCAGATATGTTCAAGGAATTAATGATCTTGTCACACCATTTCTCATGGTATTTTTATCGAAGCATCTTGAAGGCGGCATGGATAACTGGTCGATGTTCTCTCTTTCTCCAGAAAATATATCTAACATAGAAGCCGACTGCTATTGGTGTCTTTCAAAATTGCTTGATGGTATGCAAGATCAATACAAATTTGCTCAGCCAGGAATTCAACGACTTGTCTTCAAATTGAAGAAACTGGTTCGGCGAATATATGGTAATTTTTTCCACTTAACTGATAGATTTATTAGGTACTTGATGTTAATTCTTAAGAACTCTTTGCTCCACTTTTATAATTTATCTTATCATGTTTAGTATATTTCCTGTTATAGTATATTTCCTGTTATAGTGGTTGATATTTAAATTTTATCATGTTTAGTATATTTTCTGTTATAGTATATTTCCTGTTATAGTGGTTGATATTTAAATTTTATCTTCACAAGAACCTGTTTCAAGACATATGGAGGACCAAGGCCTCGAGTTTCTTCAGTTTGCTTTTCGTTGGTTCAATTGTCTCTTGATACGTGAGGTTGGTTTTTTTAGTAAATTTCATTATTAAAATCCTGTAATTACAGTGACAGTAACTAAGTTTTACTTCGTTATCTCTGCAGATCCCATTTCATCTTGTTACGCGTTTGTGGGATACATACCTTGCTGAAGGGGATGCATTACCAGAGTTTCTCGTGTACATATCTGCCAGTTTTCTGTTGACAGTGAGTTAGCCAGACCCTGTTCTTGTTTTCTCTGAGAATGACAAATAACTATGTTTAACAAATTGTGTATTACGCTTATATATGCCAAAAAAAATAAAATTCATTCTTTCAATATGTATTTTACATGCTCTAACCGCATAACAATCAAAGAGGAAAATTATACAGAAACGACAATATGTATTTTTAGCAGTCTACTTATTGAAGTACTGATGCTTATTGATGCAGGATTATTCAAGCACCATTTTCTATATTATCTTGCAAGAGAGAGCTGTGTTGAAGTATGTAAATTGATAAATAGGTTTGTCTCTGGGGGTGATGCTAATGATGATTGTGGGTTTGTTTATGATTTGTTAGATGGCTTGAGCTTGAATATGAAGACGATTGGCTTCAAGGATGTCATTTCCCGGCAACATTTACAATGTGAATACTCTAAGCAAATTGCATTTTAACATTTTGATGGGATCCAGTACCACTCAAAAATACTTGAGGCTTCTATGGAGCTTGTAGATTAAAATATATAGGACTTACACATGGACAGTTTCCGATTGATATCCAGTGCAAATATTTGTTTGATAATTTAGATAATATTTGGACAAACTATGAGTACATCTAACCATTAAATATTATTTTTTCAATAAAATTGATCACTGTGTACCAAATTAGTAAAATTGGAATTTGATTGTCATAAATGTATTCATTTATTTTGTTGTTACTATTTTTAATGCATTCCGGAACATGATTTACCAGTAAAAAACTTAATATTGAAAGTGCAAATGTTTAAAAGTAATTTACCTAAACATTTATTACTTTAGTTAATTAGCAAAAAAAAATCCAAACATATATTAGTTATTTGTTATATTGGACCTTTGTCTTATGATATTTATATAGGACATTGAATCATTTGGAGCAGGTTAAGGACTTCACCCCATGTAAGAGCAGCATCTACACGTTGAAGGGAAGATTCACAAGAGCCTTAATATTCATGCTAAGGACATGTTCTACTTAGGTATTTCATTGGACCTGAAGCCTCCAGCAGCTGATGTTGCTGCTATCAAGGTACTTCATTCAAATTTTTCTGTATGGAGGAAAAAAATTAACTTCTGTTTTCTTTCCCCTCTTTTACCTAATGTTATGTTTGATCTCATTGATTTGCTTTGCAGGAAAGGTTATTTTAAGCTAACATGATGCGAACTGTATCTTGGTAAAATGCTTATCATGATCTGAGAGAAAATTAAGTTGTCTATCTTGTATGTTGCAAAGAACAAAAAGTTCAATTGATAAAAGTGATTATTGGTTCTTTCGCTGTTTCAGGGAATGTTGAGTTTAATATTGTTGACAAGCAGGTCAGCTATGTTTTTTTTTTGTTTGCTTGCATTCCTTCTAACTTCTTCAGATTCTATATGAGGTTTGTTAACCTTTTCATATTTATATGAAGGATACACATTTTTATCTTTGCAGATTAAGCTGTCAGGATCGCACTCGGTCTTTGGAAGGGCTATTGTTGTGCATGCTGATCCTGATGATCTTGGAAGGGGAAAATTAACACTATTGATTAATTCGCATTAATCATTAATTTATTGCTATATATTGAGTAAGTTATGTACGAAGCTGGTAAGGGATGACATTTAGAAGTGGTCATGCTTATAACAAGGGCTGGTTGCGAATAAACCTCCTGTAATGTCACCTAACTGCAGATAGATCCCCTTTAGCTCTATTGGTGTTGATAGACTCCCTGTGCTATTGGCCAAAGTACGGTAAGACTCCTGAGCGTACACCCCCCCCCTTCCAACTTCTTTTAAAAATCAATTAACCCTAATAATAATGATGGTGAAATTGTCCAATTATCTCCCTTTTTACGGAAGTGTGAGGCCCTTATTTAATTAAAATTCAGGCATTAATATCCAAGGGATTATTCCCCACCCTATCTAGATCATTTGTGCTAGATGCACTCACAATAGAAAACATGGGGAAGTTGGCACATGTTCTCAATTGTAGTAAAGATGGTCGTGAATTAAAGGATTGCGAATTTTGAAATAGTTATTCTCCTGTTAGCTGTTGTAGTCTAACAAAGATGATTTTATATGTTTACAGGTAGACATGAGCTGAGAAAAGAAACAGGAAATGCAGGATAAAGAATTGCATGTGGTGAGATTTTCTAATATACGTATTGAGTTTGTAACCTTCTTGTTAAATTTTCTCGTGTCTCTTCTCCCTTGAATTTACTTTGAACTTAATGATGTATAATTAAGCATTTACCTATATGTAAATGTTCCTCACTTGTGTTCCGTACGTTTTTTCGTCATTTCCAGGCATCATAGGGCTCCAGGGTTGAAGGGTGTTGATTCTGGATTTTACCACAGCATCCTGTGTATTAATCTGCGTAGCGTATGTTTCTGCGTAGCGTATGCTTGGGCATTGGCACAAGTAGCACAAGTCGTTGGTCTGCAAGAATATCCAAGGATCTGACATGTCTAATCATCACTTTTCAATAAATAATTGTAATTTAATTGTTCAAATGTTGAATGTTTCGATTATGTCTATATGTTTTATCCATTACTTAAATTCCATAATTTTATAAAAAAAATTATAAAAAAAATTATAAATTTAAAAAAAAAACATAAAAACTTTACCACGTGCATTGCACGTGCAATCCAACTAGTAATTAATGATCTTGTCACACCATTTCTCATGGTATTTTTATCGAAGCATCTTGAAGGCGGCATGGATAACTGGTCGATGTTGTCTCTTTCTCCAGAAAATATATCTAACATAGAAGCCGACTGCTATTGGTGTCTTTCAAAATTGCTTGATGGTATGCAAGATCAATACAAATTTGCTCAGCCAGGAATTCAACGACTTGTCTTCAAATTGAAGAAACTGGTTCGGCGAATATATGGTAATTTTTTCCACTTAACTGATAGATTTATTAGGTACTTGATGTTATTTCTTAAGAACTCTTTGCTCCACTTTGATAATTTATCTTATCATGTTTAGTATATTTCCTGTTATAGTATATTTCCTGTTATAGTGGTTGATATTTAAATTTTATCTTCACAAGAACCTGTTTCAAGACATATGGAGGACCAAGGCCTCGAGTTTCTTCAGTTTGCTTTTCGTTGGTTCAATTGTCTCTTGATACGTGAGGTTGGTTTTTTTAGTAAATTTCATTATTAAAATCCTGTAATTACAGTGACAGTAACTAAGTTTTACTTCGTTATCTCTGCAGATCCCATTTCATCTTGTTACGCGTTTGTGGGATACATACCTTGCTGAAGGGGATGCATTACCAGAGTTTCTCGTGTACATATCTGCCAGTTTTCTGTTGACAGTGAGTTAGCCAGACCCTGTTCTTGTTTTCTCTGAGAATGACAAATAACTATGTTTAACAAATTGTGTATTACGCTTATATATGCCAAAAAAAATAAAATTCATTCTTTCAATATGTATTTTACATGCTCTAACCGCATAACAATCAAAGAGGAAAATTATACAGAAACGACAATATGTATTTTTAGCAGTCTACTTATTGAAGTACTGATGCTTATTGATGCAGGATTATTCAAGCACCATTTTCTGTACTATCTTGCAAGAGAGAGCTGTGTTGAAGTTTGTAAATTGATAAATAGGTTTGTCTCTGGGGGTGATGCTAATGATGATTGTGGGTTTGTTTATGATTTGTTAGATGGCTTGAGCTTGAATATGAAGACGATTGGCTTCAAGGATGTCATTTCCCGGCAACATTTACAATGTGAATACTCTAAGCAAATTGCATTTTAACATTTTGATGGGATCCAGTACCACTCAAAAATACTTGAGGCTTCTATGGAGCTTGTAGATTAAAATATATAGGACTTACACATGGACAGTTTCCGATTGATATCCAGTGCAAATATTTGTTTGATAATTTAGATAATATTTGGACAAACTATGAGTACATCTAACCATTAAATATTATTTTTTCAATAAAATTGATCACTGTGTACCAAATTAGTAAAATTGGAATTTGATTGTCATAAATGTATTCATTTATTTTGTTGTTACTATTTTTAATGCATTCCGGAACATGATTTACCAGTAAAAAACTTAATATTGAAAGTGCAAATGTTTAAAAGTAATTTACCTAAACATTTATTACTTTAGTTAATTAGCAAAAAAAAATCCAAACATATATTAGTTATTTGTTATATTGGACCTTTGTCTTATGATATTTATATAGGACATTGAATCATTTGGAGCAGGTTAAGGACTTCACCCCATGTAAGAGCAGCATCTACACGTTGAAGGGAAGATTCACAAGAGCCTTAATATTCATGCTAAGGACATGTTCTACTTAGGTATTTCATTGGACCTGAAGCCTCCAGCAGCTGATGTTGCTGCTATCAAGGTACTTCATTCAAATTTTTCTGTATGGAGGAAAAAAATTAACTTCTGTTTTCTTTCCCCTCTTTTACCTAATGTTATGTTTGATCTCATTGATTTGCTTTGCAGGAAAGGTTATTTTAAGCTAACATGATGCGAACTGGATCTTGGTAAAATGCTTATCATGATCTGAGAGAAAATTAAGTTGTCTATCTTGTATGTTGCAAAGAACAAAAAGTTCAATTGATAAAAGTGATTATTGGTTCTTTCGCTGTTTCAGGGAATGTTGAGTTTAATATTGTTGACAAGCAGGTCAGCTATGTTTTTTTTTTGTTTGCTTGCATTCCTTCTAACTTCTTCAGATTCTATATGAGGTTTGTTAACCTTTTCATATTTATATGAAGGATACACATTTTTATCTTTGCAGATTAAGCTGTCAGGATCGCACTCGGTCTTTGGAAGGGCTATTGTTGTGCATGCTGATCCTGATGATCTTGGAAGGGGAAAATTAACACTATTGATTAATTCGCATTAATCATTAATTTATTGCTATATATTGAGTAAGTTATGTACGAAGCTGGTAAGGGTTGACATTTATTGCTGGTCATGCTTATAACAAGGGCTGGTTGCGAATAAACCTCCTGTAATGTCACCTAACTGCAGATAGATCCCCTTTAGCTCTATTGGTGTTGATAGACTCCCTGTGCTATTGGCCAAAGTACGGTAAGACTCCTGAGCGTACACCCCCCCCCTTCCAACTTCTTTTAAAAATCAATTAACCCTAATAATAATGATGGTGAAATTGTCCAATTATCTCCCTTTTTACGGAAGTGTGAGGCCCTTATTTAATTAAAATTCAGGCATTAATATCCAAGGGATTATTCCCCACCCTATCTAGATCATTTGTGCTAGATGCACTCACAATATAAAACATGGGGAAGTTGACACATGTTCTCAATTGTATTAAAGATGGTCGCGAATTAAAGGATTGCGAATTTTGAAACATTAAAAAAATCTAATGGAATTGCATCAGAAATAGTTATTCTCCTGTTAGCTGTTGTAGTCTAACAAAGATGATTTTATATGTTTACAGGTAGACATGAGCTGAGAAAAGAAACAGGAAATGCAGGATAAAGAATTGCATGTGGTGAGATTTTCTAATATACGTATTGAGTTTGTAACCTTCTTGTTAAATTTTCTCGTGTCTCTTCTCCCTTGCATTTACTTTGAACTTAATGATGTATAATTAAGCATTTACCTATATGTAAATGTTCCTCACTTGTGTTCCGTACGTTTTTTCGTCATTTCCAGGCATCATAGGGCTCCAGGGTTGAAGGGTGTTGATTCTGGATTTTACCACAGCATCCTGTGTATTAATCTGCGTAGCGTATGTTTCTGCGTAGCGTATGCTTGGGCATTGGCACAAGTAGCACAAGTCGTTGGTCGGCAAGAATATCCAAGGATCTGACATGTCTAATCATCACTTTTCAATAAATAATTGTAATTTAATTGTTCAAATGTTTAATGTTTTGATTATGTCTATATGTTTTATCCATTACTTAAATTCCATAATTTTATAAAAAAAATTATAAATTAAAAAAAAATAAAAACTTTACCACGTGCATTGCACGTGCAATCCAACTAGTACTATTATAAAAGTGGATTGGCATGTTAAAACATTTCTTCCAAAAATGCCCTCCAAACCATATACATACATACATAAAACACATGCATCCATACATATAAACATATAAATATATATGCATACATTCTAATAATGTCATAACTCTCCTATTAATTGTCCATTAATATTAACTTCTAATTTTTGTAACCTCATCCATACATATAAACACATACATATATATGCATACATTCTAATAATGTCATAACTCTCCTATTAATTGTCCACTAATATTAACTTCTAATTTTTGTAACCCCTCCACTAATCCAATATTAATGTCATCATTATGATAAAGGTACAAATTGTTTCTAGCCTTTTCGTTCTTCACTTATAAAAAATTGAGGACATACATTTATTATTTTGAAAATTATTTCCACTACCGTTACACTCATTTACACCTATCAATGATGCATGATTACAAATGAAAATTTCAGTTTAGAACTTAAAGGTCATGTGATTCCTATAAATTGACCTAATTTCATCAGTCAAACATATCCTGCATCAAATAGAAAATAGAACTTGGAGAAAAATGTTGAGGAAGGGAAGAAAAGACAATCATTACAGGTTAGTAAAAAGGTAATCATAGTTTATACTATTATTATAATTTACTTATAGCTTTCAAAAATAGTGTTAGATGGTTACGTAAAAACATGTAGATAGTAAAAAGGTAACTACATGATTTTCCATTAAGATGCACTCGTGAAGGTTGAGGGAGAGAAGGAGAGATCGATGTTCATTATCCAATTTTCAATGGTTTTTGTAAGTAATATAATTTTTTTAATGAGTGACCATTAGTATCCAATTATGTTTGACATATAAACACATACATATATATGCATACATTCTAATAATGTCATAACTCTCCTATTAATTGTCCACTAATATTAACTTCTAATTTTTGTAACCCCTCCACTAATCCAATATTAATGTCATCATTAGGATAAAGGTACAAATTGTCTCTAGCCTTTTCGTTCTTCACTTATAAAAAATTGAGGACATACATTTATTATTTTGAAAATTATTTCCACTACCGTTACACTCATTTACACCTATCAATGATGCATGATTACAAATGAAAATTTCAGTTTAGAACTTAAAGGTCATGTGATTCCTATAAATTGACCTAATTTCATCAGTCAAACATATCCCGCATCAAATAGAAAATAGAACTTGGAGAAAAAATGTTGAGGAAGGGAAGAAAAGACAATCATCACAGGTTAGTAAAAAGGTAATCATAGTTTATACTATTATTATAATTTACTTATAGCTTTCAAAAATAGTGTTAGATGGTTACGTAAAAACATGTAGATAGTAAAAAGGTAACTACATGATTTTCCATTAAGATGCACTCGTGAAGGTTGAGGGAGAGAAGGAGAGATCGATGTTCATTATCCAATTTTCAATGGTTTTTGTAAGTAATATAATTTTTTTAATGAGTGACCATTAGTACCAATTTTCTTTTACTATTAATATTTCAAGTTGGGAGCTTCTTGATTACATTTGCCATAGTTCATATTTTATTTTCATCTATATTTTTATCTACAGACGAGTTTCTCGATACATTAACACTTATATAAATAGCACTTATAAAAAATTGAGGACATACATTTATTATTTTGAAAATTATTCCCACTACCGTTACACTCATTTACACCTATCAATGATGCATGATTACAAATGAAAATTTCAGTTTAGAACTTAAAGGTCATGTGATTCCTATAAATTGACCTAATTTCATCAGTCAAACATATCCCGCATCAAATAGAAAATAGAACTTGGAGAAAAATGTTGAGGAAGGGAAGAAAAGACAATCATCACAGGTTAGTAAAAAGGTAATCATAGTTTATACTATTATTATAATTTACTTATAGCTTTCAAAAATAGTGTTAGATGGTTACGTAAAAACATGTAGATAGTAAAAAGGTAACTACATGATTTTCTATTAAGATGCACTCGTGAAGGTTGAGGGAGAGAAGGAGAGATCGATGTTCATTATCCAATTTTCAATGGTTTTTGTAAGTTATATAATTTTTTTTTAAATGAGTGACCATTAGTATCCAATTACGTTAGTTTATTTGATGTTAAATAAATATCCAATTTTCTTTTACTATTAATATTTCAAGTTGGGAGCTTCTTGATTACATTTGCCATAGTTCATATTTTATTTTCATCTATATTTTTATCTACAGACGAGTTTCTCGATACATTAACACTTATATAAATAGCACTTATAAAAAATTGAGGACATACATTTATTATTTTGAAAATTATTTCCACTACCGTTACACTCATTTACACCTATCAATGATGCATGATTACAAATGAAAATTTCAGTTTAGAACTTAAAGGTCATGTGATTCCTATAAATTGACCTAATTTCATCAGTCAAACATATCCCGCATGTTATTGTTAAGGAGCAAGGAGTATTGATTGTGTTTTTAACTTCCTTTGGATAAATGGAGCGGAGTTTATCGGGCACAAAGTAAATTCACATAATAGTTCTTAATGTCAAGTAACTTGCAAGCAGTAAATAACTATTTATTGACAACAATGTGAAAATTATATATATAGGAATATCTGTATGGAATGCATATACTTTGTTGAATGTGTGCAATGTAGATATATGTCAAATGCCTTTTTGATGTATCCTAAAATCCCAATGTAGGAATGATGGGATTAAAAACACTTGACTTACAAATTCATTTACATTATTAACTCATTTTCTTAATAAGAGATTGCAAGCGTTCCACTAACTATATATTACTTGAAAATCCATTTTGTAAAATTTTAACATAGTGTGTGATATTTAATGATTGGTATGTTATAAATTAATATACTAAACAAAAGAAAACGTTGAAATATATATGATAGAACTTTATTTTTCCTTATTTTTTGGGTCATGTAAACTATATATATAGCACATTCTCCATAATAAATATTTTTTCTCATTATTTTTAAGTGAATTTTGACAACTAAATTTAGTCAAAAATTTGCACTTGATTGAGTTTGAAATTTTCAATATTTAATCCATCGTATCCTTCATGAATAATGAGTAATTAAAAAACTAACCAGTAAAATAAATATAGATGAAAAAAATGAATGAAATGATATAATGAGATATTATTGTTGTTGTTCGGGTAAATTTTGATGGTGGATGGAGTAATCTTTGCTGATTACATACATAAGTTAAGTGAATAGTATGTAGGTTACTTATTTAAACATGTGCTAATAGACATTAATTGCGATAATAAGTTTAATGTATTAGACTTCCAGTGCCTTCCAATTCACATGCAACACACATAAAAGCTTAGATTTTGATGGTGGATGTAGTAATCTTTGCTGATTATATACTTATTTAAACATGTGATTATATACTTATTTAAACATGTGCTAATAGACATTAATTGCGATAATAAGTTTAATGTATTAGACTTCCAATTCACATGCAACACACATAAAAGCTTATTTATTTTTATTTTGATATAAAAATTACTTTTATACTTATGTCCACGTGCAGCGTGATTATATATCTTTAAATGAGCATCATGATTATCCATTAAACTTGCTATCCCTAAAAATTTTCTTAGCAAACATCAAATGATTAGTGCTTTTTTGTATTTGAGTTTTCTAAAATTACTCATGATGATCATTTCAAAGGATAGTTCACACACACAAAAAAGTATCATCACAAAAATTAAACGTAAAATTAAATACACGTGCAACGCACGTGCACTATACTAGTAGAACTAAAGATCTGTTTGGCAAAAATCTGTTTGGGTAAATTGGTCCAAGTCTAGCTTAGATTTTCTAAGGCCAAATTTGGTCTCTAAACTGATTTTTTTTTAAACGTCTCCCTATTCCAAAACAAAACTAGTTTAGTTTAAAAAGGGGACGAATTTGGTTTTGACCTAATTTAAGGATAGTTGTCAAACACATCCTGAACGTTATGCGAGATTAAGTGCTACACCGTGTAAGCACAGTGGGGACCACCTCTAGAAACCATATTGTCTGGTGGGGATACTGGGGCGAACCAATTCATCATGCCGCGGACATTACATGTGTATGATGGGGTGATTGTGATGCCCCAAAGATAGTCCCGCATTTAGAAGCCATGAAAGGTTTAAATAGGTAAAGCTAAAGTCGTAAGTGTAGCGATGGCTAACCATCTATGGAGGTTGGTTAGCCAAAGAACACGCTGCACTCATTGAATCCCATGGCTTACACTGCCAACGGGCTGGTAGGCCTAAGATGTGACAATCTTGGCTCTCATGTTGCAGCGGTTCTCTTTAATTGAACGCTTAATTGTATTTTGGTGGAGTAGTTTCGGAGATGATTTTTAGGGCATATATTGGTTGATGCTGGAGGGATGTTTCGTTTGATAAACTGGTGTTAAGCTTCTCCTGCGGTTGTGAGTTCGGAAAGGGCTATAAAGCAAAATAGTAGTTTCATCCTGACTGCGCTTCCCGTTTTACTACTGAGACTTTGGCTCATCAATAAAAGGATATCACGCTCAGCATATAAAATATCTGGTGACCGACAAATCATGTATCGAGCTCTAGATGCCATCGTCATGCACCGAGCAGAATCCCAATTGGTAGCCCACTTGACAAGGATCGATTCTGAAGGCTCCTTTGAGTTGGGCGCAGAGTCACGCTCTCACGCCGCGGAAACGATATTACCCGAGAGAAAGCCCTGACTTTTATTTTCACAAAAGCTCAAGCTAACCTCTATATTCCCGTTTCACAAAGGAAATAAAAATAGAAAGTAAAATATCTCAATAAAGTAAAATATACAC